GTAAATGTCAAAAAGTATGTTTCGATTCAATAAATATTATTATTAGCCATAGCAATTATTACAAATATTCAATATTATTATCCTATAGATTACCTCATAGCAGGAATCCTATGAGGCAATCTATAATGAAGGCCAATCTTCATCAGTGGTCTTTGATGAGCTGCAATGAATGAATGATTGAATGAATCAGAATGGCGACGGAATACAGAGACCAAAATCGTGGATAAAGTTTTGTTCCGCTACCTCCAATCAGCAACTTATTTTTTTTTTAATAATCCAATTTTCAATGTCTTATTTAAATAACATTTTATGTATATCGACTGTGTATTTTGTTTTCGTTATCTTCACCTCATTTCGTGTGTAATGTATTCTGTTAGAATAAAAACAAAACGAGTTCTTGCAAAATTGTCATTAAAGCAAAGCCTTTATCAGGCATCTAGTATCTAAAAAGCTTTGAATAATATTCAAAGCTTTTTATCGGTTTCTTAGTAATTTCATTTGAAATCTATAAATAATTTTCTAGACTAAAAGAGAAATTTTAGTAACCTTGAATTTTCCTCAAATTACCAACATACAAAAAAAGAATGCATAAGTAAATACAAAAACTTTAGATTTTCTTAAAGCATTTATTTTTGCGTACTGAATTTAAATAACATTAGGAAAGGTTTAATTTATAAACAATTTTGTAGGGAACAATCTGAATTCTAAAGTGTAGCTGTAGCTACAAAGGCGACACTTAAAGTTTTTAGAACTGGCCACTTGTAAACGATATAATAAAAAAGGAAGTTCAAATTTTGGAAATGAAGCTCTTTGCCAATATTATTGTGTAAATATTTTATTAAGGTGGCGGTAGCATGCGACCGCTTGGGGATTAATGAGTTAATTTGTCATTTATTTACGATTTACGTCAGCATCAATTTAACACGAGAAAATTTTCGTACAATGACTTTTTATGACTTTCGATGTCATTTAAGTCAACAAGAAAGTTATGATAGACTTCGATTGGCCTTTCACGATGAAGCCCCTCATGCATCTCTTGCCACTGTTTACAACTGGTTTAATGAGTTTAAACGTGGTCGCACTAATCTCACCGATGATCTGTGTGAGGGACGGCCTTCTACGGCGACGACTGAAGAAAACATCAGTGTTATGCGGCATATGATAGACTGACAAAATAGTGACTTATCAGCAGATTAGAAAAAAGTTAGGCATCGGCATGAGTCAAGTGTACAAAATCCTCCATGAACATTTAGCGGTCAGAAAGCTTTGTGCTCAGTGAATACCTCATAATTTGACAGAGGCCCAAAAACTCCGTCGTGATGATTGGTGTCGTGAAATAGTCCAAAGATTTAACAGAAGTGACTTCAATGCTGTGTTCGATTATTATTATATATTATTGTTACGTCCCGAAAGTAAGAGACAGTCTGCTGTCTGGGTGTTTTCTTCCGAGAAGTTGCCAACTAAAGTGAAGAAAGGTCGAAGCTTGGGAAAAAATAGGGTGGATTACGCAACAATTGTTTTATAGGATCGAAAAACATTTACCGCAGAGTGGTACGCTAACAATTGTTTGCCACTTAAAAATTTCGTGAGAAACGTACTCGAAGTAGGATCCTCTTTTACCACGACAACGCCTCGTCGCACACCGCCAAGCAAACAATCGACCACTTGGCGACGTCAGACGTGGAATTACTGGATCACTCGCCCTATAGCCCCGACCTCGCACCTTGCGATTTTTATTTATTTCCGAAAATAAAAGAAAAACTTCGAGGAAAATGTTTTATGGACGCCGAGGAAACAATGGCTGCGTTTCAAAATGCCGTCGAAGCGACCCCAGGGTGTTTTTTAGCTGAATGAAAAGTTTCGATGATTGTTGTCTATGACTTGACAGTTGAGAATGTCAAACTGTGTTGACATTTCTGTTCAGTAAGGTTTGAAAATACATCATGATTCGTTTAACGCCAGAACAACGCTTCGAAATTGTGGAAATTTACTTTAAAAAAATCTGTTCGCGAAGTCCATAGAGCACTTTATCCATTTTACGGTCAACATAACCGGCCCAGTGAGCAAGCAATTCTTGCAGTTATTGATCGTTTCCGCACTGATTTTTCTCTTCTCGATTAAAATCCATCAATCCTTGTGGGTACCGAAGAGAATGTTGCTGCTGCAGCGCGAAGTGTTTGAAGAAGACACCGAAATGTCGATTCGTCGCCGTCCTCAATTTGTTGGTCTTTGTCTTTCGACTACGTGAAAATTTTTACGTAAGTATCTTGGCTTATGTGCTCGTGCAAGAATTAAAGCAAAATGACCATCGTTTACGTCGCATTTTTGCTGATTGGGCTAATTTAACAATGGCCGAAAATGTGCATTTTTTTAAAGAATTGTGTTTAGTGATGAAGCTCATTTTTGGTTAAATTTCTTCGTGAATAAGCAAAATTGCCGTATATGGAGCGAAGACAATCCTCATTCCATTAACGAATCACTATTACATTCATTAAAATTGACAGTTTGGTGCGGTTTACCCGCTGGCGGCATCTTCAACCCTTATTTATTTCGAAATGAGGAAGCAGCTGCCATTACGCGAGCGCTATCGAGTCGTGCTGGCTGATTTTTTGTTTCCACAAATTAATCAGCTGAACATCGACGACATTTGATTCCAGCAAGAAGGCGCAACTTGCCACACAGCGCGCTTAACAATCAATTTATCGGTAGAGTCATGCTGCAGTTATATTAGTACTATAGTTGTAGCTCGACCGCGGAAGGATCACGCTCTCACAGAATACCAGCGTAATGCTACTGTGTTTCGTATGGTAAGTGTAGAGAACCGGAGACCCTTTTTACTGGAAATGAGACATTCCATCTTAGTCCTTACGGGTGACAACGCATCTGTACTTTGAATCGTAATCGAGGATATATGCAGACGTCTATAGGCCACAGCAACCACTTACCATCAGGTGGACTGTGTGCTCGTTTGTAACCCTATCATATTAAAAAAAAAAACAATTGGGTGACAATTTTATTCCCAGAAGTGGTCGTGTCAACAGGCTCCCTTGTTCGTGCGACTTAATGCCTCTCGATTGCTTTTTATGGGGCTATGTATGTTAAGTCATTGGTTTATGCCGATAAAGCAGCAACTCTTTAGGCATTGGAAGCCAATATTCAAGCCAGCATTGACGCCATACGGCCAGATTTATTGGACAAAGTAGTAAAATATTGAACTGATCGTATGTACTATGTAACTCGCAGCCGCGGCGGAAAAATGCCCGAAATCATATTTAAAAAATTTATGCCATGAAATTATCTACCAGATTAAAATAATAAAAAAAAATTACTCCAACATTGTTTGTGTCTTGTATTATTATTTAAAGTTCTCAAGCTCTTAAAAAACATCCTTTATTAGAAAATAATACTTATCTAATTATAATCAATACTAATAATGAAGATTTACCTGTTAATATTGTTTTTTCAGAGGATTATGGAGATGTTAGGGATTATATTATTGATGTCTCTAACGTCCAATGGCATATATATATATATATATATATATATATATATATATATATATATAGAAGGTGTTTAATGTCCATGTCACACCTATGCCGGTAATTGTTGGGAGCACTATGCTCGAAGTTGTTGACGAGTACGTTTACCTGGGACAAATAGTCCGACTAGGTAAGTCCAACTTCGACCGAGAGGTCAATCGACGGATTCAACTTGGCTGGGCAGCGTTCGGGAAATTACGACACATCTTCTCATCAGGTATACCTCAATCTCTGAAAACTAAAGTGTACAACCAGTGTGTGTTGCCAGTGATGACTTACGGATCTGAGACGTGGTCCTTCACCGCTGGCCGTATGAGGACGCTCAAGGTCGCTCAGCGAGCTATGGAGAGGGCTATGCTCGGAGCTTCACTGTGTGATAGACTCAGAAATGAGGATATCCGCAGTGAAACCAGAGTGACCGACATAGCCCAAGGGATTAGTAAGCTGAAGTGGCAATGGGCCGGCCATATAGCTCGAAGAACCGATAACCGATGGGGAAGAAAGGTTCTCGAGTGGCAGCCTCGTACCGGTAGCCGTAGTGTAGGGCGACCCCCCACTAGATGGAGTGACGACCTGGTAAGACATGCAGGAAGTCGATGGATGCAGGTGGCTCAGGACCGTGCTTTGTGGCATTACTTGGGGGAGGCCTATGTTCAGCAGTGGACTTGTGAAGGGCTGTAATGATGATATATTATATATATAAATTTAGTTATTGATAAAAATAGAATTGTTTTAGTGTGATCGAGATAGTAATTATTGCTTTAAGATGGTCAAGTACCGTGTAGTGGCGGTGTAAGGATATCCACTACCCTATATCATCCCGTGGGTGTTGTAAGAGGCGACAGAGGGAAGCAAATAGATGGGCAGCAGCGTCTTCTTAGTAACGACTAAAATAACTACGATTGCCAGCCCGCTTGCCAAGCGTGGCAACTATGGCATATATCCCTCCTATGAGGCAATCTATGGGGAGGCCTATGTACGGTCAAGTGCGAAAATAATGTTGCAGGAGTGTTTAAAGGGAAAATTAGTTATGTTATTAATTTTAATACATATTTATTTGTAAATAGTGTGCAATTTGGCATTTTATAATAATTTGCGTTCGAAATTTGAAAATTAGTGTAACGTCAAAACACACCTCGTGTTGACAATTACACGTGTGAATTGACATGTCAGTGACATTTTAGTGGCTACACGAGCTCCGCCCACTCCCCCGTTCTGTTATGTATGTATTATAGTATTCTATGGTGTAAATGATATTGAAGATGTCAAAGTAGATTTTCAAAAACTACAATTTATTTCTGAATTCTACTATAATAATACATATTCAGTAGTTCAATCTTTTGTACTCATTCAGCTTTTTATATGTTTAGAGCAGGATTTAATTGCGCCATGTTTTACGCTTGCTTTGCACTCTACCAAAAGTAACTGCTAGAGTTTTCGCTAATATTTTTTCGTAATTACCTGTAGCGGCGGCTGCGAGCCAGGCGGCAAATGTGGCGGATGCTGGGAGTCATGTGTGGGGGACAGCGCACCAGAATTGGGCGCAGCGCCTGGGCTCGGTGCACCTGGAGGATGGGACGGCGGTTGCGGGGATCCGCCGCGCTCGTAGCCCTGTCAACAAATATTTCCTTGATTGTGTAAAATTAAAACATATGAGAGGTATCTCAAATAAAACATTATATTATGTTAATGTTAAATGTTAAATATTAAACTAAGGAAACGCTAAGGCACGCGCCGTACCGAATTCTTTATAAATTTTTCTCGTATGTCGTAGGTGTCGTTAAGGCGACTTAGGTACATTATATCAAATCTTAAATATAGATCAGGGATGATAATTAGAAACAAAGTTACCAAAGGCCTGATATATTGCACAGTAAAACCAATTACGTAAATTAATAACTTATAACAAACCATTTTAACGCAGGAATCATAAGCTTACCAAACACAGTTTCAAATTTAACCAAATTCATATTATCAAGCATTTGATGTTTTCGTTTTAGCTCATTAAGAATAATATACGTATACCTAGCTTATTATAAAACTAATATATTTAGAATATGGAATCTTCTCGGTTTTAACTCGGTAAAAAAGGGCCGTAAAATAATCGAAATTGTACTCAATTTTAATAGTTATTTACAACACAACAATAAAAGCTTTGTACTTGACCGTGAATATGAACGGCGAATGAATGAGATCACAGCAATGGATTCAATTTTTTTACTCAATTTTTGTTAACGTAAAAATGTTACCAAATATACAAAAATTTACTGGAAGGCGCTTTCGTTACGGTGAATAGCGAGAGCTATTTTTGTTTTCGAAAATTTATTAACTAAACATCGACGACATTTGGTTTCAACAAGATGGCGCAACTTGCCATACAGCGCGCTTAACCATCAATTTATTGCAAAATCAATTTGGTGTCAACTTTATCTCCAGAAGTGGTCCTGTTAATTTGGCCCCCTCGTTCGTGCGACTTAACGCCTCTCGATTACTTTTTATGGGTACTATTTTATTTAGCAAATGTAAAAAAAAAAAACAGAAATATCAAGACAAGACCTAACATTTAACATATTTTTTTAAATTTTAAGCCACGTTGTATGTTAAATTCCTTGTGACCAATAAATTTCGGTACCTTACATTATAAAATATGTAATCAAATCGAAGTGTCAAACCTATTGTGTATATGTTTCTGATAAGAATCACGATATCTCTGCGACCACCATTGGACATTCCACATGGAGCCTGCCGTAAGTTAATATGAAACGTGAGGTTGTGTTGACAAATACAAACAAAGGTTAATTCCAAACGTCTCGCACACACACAATAGACGTAGGATAAAACAATCGGGCGCGTGCAAAAGCAGGTCGACGGCCAGAGTCGGCCTTGACCGTGCATCCATTATGCACACCCGTTTACTTGCGAATAAGTGCACCTCTACGCATCCACATTGTTTTATAGCTATGTCGTTATAGTGCGGTTCCATTCACAAAACTATGGAATATAAAGCTTGTCATTATGTGACATGTTGTTTAACGGAATCTCTGACATAAAAATTGTGTTGAAGTTGTGGGACTTACACAAAACTATTATTATTTTTAAATACTGTTATTTATTATTCTAAAGACTAATTAAATTTATATTAAAAAAAACCCTGACAGCAGCGATATATCACGAGCTAGTAATTATGGTAGTAATGACTGAATTTTTATTGTGCAAGGGTGAACTTATTTTTAGGCGGTAAAAAGTATACCCCGTTATAATTATTCATTACATGATCTATCTGTCCTGGTTAAATACGTATGTATAATCTTCTTTGCGTGTTTGAGTAGAGCATCTTCATAAACTTTCACAAATATATTGTTAGTACGTAGATGATATTACTATTAAAATTACACGTTCGCTAGTATGTATTTAAAAATAGCTATATTGTTTTAGTAAGATTTGATTATATAACAACAATTCGGACATGAAGACAAATCATTTTTAAAAGATAGAAAACACATCAGCAATAGTGAATCATCAGGAACCTTACACGTTGCTCGTGTGCTCATAAAGCTAAAGGGTCAGCAAAAATATTCTAATGGAGACAAATTTGTGCATATAAATTGTAATTGTAGGTTTACATGAAACCATTAAAATTCATTAGCGTAGCGCTGCGCGATATTTTCGTTTTGACCGTTATCGTCACGAATTCGAACACGTCAATCAACTTTGAATAGGTTTATACGTCATAAACTGAAACGAAGAACGAAAAGCGGCGACGCAACTCATTCATTACAAATTCATTACTGAAGCAGCGCGTCCTCGACACAGTTTGCTAGTTCGCTGCAGACATTGATTGCATCAATCGCACAATGCTTTCACTCCGCAGCTAGTTTCCGCGTCACGTTTCAAGGCTAAATATAAGGCTAGACCGATATTTACTACTCCAGGTCAATTCGAGTCATTCGCTTTTTACGGTTATAGTTATTTGAAAATTCAATTTTTCCTTTTGTAACTAGTGACCCGCAAAGTAAATTTTATAATTAAATGTGCCAAGTCTAATATTACAATAACATATTTTTTTAAAAGAATATTAACAATGCTATAAACATTACTAATATTCCCCTTAACCACTCGTGGTAAGCTTAAATTGCTTGTGTTACGACTGGTTCACGCCAGTAGTCGAATGGCGGATTCGAACTCACGACCTTTTTGAGTTCGCGGTCCGCGCCCTGCTATTAGGCTACTGTCGCTCTATATATATTTTAAAGAGACACTACTAGACCGAAGAGACCCTTGCTAAGAGATTACTTTTAAAATAATTTCAATCGGTTCAAATCTTCATCATTACAGCCACAATACTACACCTTAACAATAATTTTTCTCCAATCCCACAATGCACGGTCCTGATCAACCTACATGTATGGATTTCCTGCATCTCATACTAATTATTATTTATTGAAGACATATTGATTATTATTTATTGTAATTATTACTCCAGGTGGTGCTTTTACTTTGATTGGTTACTTTGATTTTTTTTGTTTTAGAGTTTATATGTTGTTTAGTTGTTTTTTCTCTTATAATGATGTATACACCTGCAAAGATATATCCTTTATCTAAAAATGTAGTATTTTGATTGTAACAATGTTTATTGATATTGTCGATGGTGTATCTATCTATCTAAATAAATAAATCTCTTACTAGGTCGTCGTCTGATCAATAACTACAATAAACACCGGTGTTATGCGATTTAGAAATTCATAATAAAGGATTACGGTTTATAATTTCAATAAAAATGATGAAATCCTGCCAAATCAACTTGGAAGAGAAGTTGGGAGAGAGATTACTAGCGGCCCAAGATCAAACGGGCAAAATCTATTATAAAACTTTTCGGGAACTGCTAATTCCTAGGCAAACAAGAAGCCTACATAGTTAAAAAATTATAAATCCGGGTAGTTTGTTGAATTTAACTTGCTGTAGACGACCTCAAATTACGACAGCAGCTAAAGATCGATTAGCATAAGATTAAGTTAACTAAGTACTCGTAAGTCTGCGTCTGTTAAGACTTCACAAGATAATTAAATCCGCGCGATTTCTAGCAGTTTCTTTAGAGAAGGCTTTATAAAGTCGCTGTTTATTGAAGAATGGAGCGGCCAAGAAACCCTTGTTGAAACCTACTCGTAAATATAAAATGAAGGGGTTGGTTTAGAAAATCAAAATCGAAATTAAAAAATTATGAATCGAAGTATTCTGCTATAAAAAAGAGAATTAACGTTCACAATCGTTCTCCAAATGCATGCAGGAGGAATGCGTCGTGCCGTCGGTTAAGCAAATACTCTGTAATGACTTGAAGCTATTTTAGAGGTTCTGCTGATAATAATGTGCCACTATATGGTAATTATTAACCGTGTAGTGTCAGACACGTAAGAGGTTGTAAGAGAACGTAAGAGGCAACAGAGATAAACTGAAACAAGACATGGGCAGAAGCATCTGCCGAATAACTCAAATATCAACTCAAAATATTAAAAAACTGCAGTTGTCGACCCACGTGCTGAGCGTCACAACTACGGCGAAATCCACCCTGTGAGGCAATTTTTGGGAATGGCCTATCTTCAGCAGTGTTCTTTAATAGGCTTAAAAGGATAGATGTATGATTGGAGCAATTTTGAGATAAGAAAGCTACGAGAAAATCTTAAAAGAGATTGTTCTATTTAATCTAGTGTAGGGCGAATAATCGATAAGGGATTTAATTTTTCCAACAGGCCAATGACCCGAAATACATTCACGATTGGGTTCTTAATAGCTTCTTGGAAAAGAAGAAGAAAGAGTGTTCAAGAAAATGTCTAGGCTTCCTTAATCATAGATTTAAGACCGATAGAATTGTTAGGGGATCATTTTGACTGGCAAGTGCGAAAACTGAGACCCACACTAATCTCCCATGTATGGAGTATTTTGGAACAGAATGAATCAAAATAAAAACTACCCTTAAATATTTTTGCAGACTCCCGAAACTTTATACAGAAATGATGTTCTTTATTTTTAATTTAATGTCACTACAAAATTTAATTATTATGATAAATTTTTTATTATCTTTTTAAGTTTGCAATCATAAGTATGAATACAAAATTTCAAACAGTCTAGGTTCGCAAATACTTTCTAACAGTACCTAGTCTATTAGTAATAGAAAATCCTTTAAAGTTCTTTTCTACCGATCACTACTAAAAAGATATAGAAATTGGATTCATGGCGATTGTTTAATCAGCTTACTGATCGAGATAATAGGGTCAGGCAAGAGGACGCCTTCGGACTCAACTGCTACGTAATTGGATACGCAGCGCCTCATTTGCCGACAAAGCCGATTTCAACTCGATACTTATCGATACGTGACGACCTATTATTGTCTTTTGCTACGCGGCGGATCCCTGATTTCCTACATAATGACACCGTAACGTCAGTAAAGGGAATATTATTATTGTTATGGCAGAAAGTGTACGGAAGAAGCGTGAGAAAGACACAAAAGACGACCTCTAATGGTAATGCGCTGCCAAAATACGACAACGATAATTTAACAATCCGTGTTACCAGAACCACTTAAGAAGTCGGCAACAAAGGGGTGAAGAATCGGGGGT